TTCTGAAAGGCCAGGCCTTGGCTACTTAAAGGTGACTTAAAAGATTTTCAAGGATAATTTTGACTCTAGGCAGTTTTTGTTTCATGTGCTGACTTTACAACCTGCCCCTGAAAAAGGCCCCTCTGTCCAGCGCTTTCTCTTTCGGCAGAGACTTTTATCCTGATCAGAAAGTCGATTTCCAAGGCCACTCGGCAGGACCTAACCCAGAGCGCTGGTCTTAAACCAGTACAATGAATCGGAATAAGAAGAGCCGGCTGGAGGTTACCAGGTGCAGCTCTGTTCCTCTGAGCAGGTCACATCCTCAAGGGTGCAGATGCCGTTCTTCACTGTATGTGTGGCGGGAATCACCCCAGGCTCCCATTCACCAATTACGATGACACCATTTAGAAGGGAAGGCCAGGAGACCAAAGAGAGGAGGGAAAGCCATTGTCACAACTTCAAGGAATACCTGTTTTCACAATGTACACTTCACTGCTGACCCCTGAAAAGTCAAACATTTTGGCAAAATGAAGCAAGCTATAATGCTTCTTTTTTGAGATCCCCTCACAGGAAGGGGAGGCTTGGCACCTCATGGATACCAACTTAGTTATCCATCATAGTGAACTCAGCTGTCCTAGCCAGCTTTTCAGAGGTCACACGATCGAACCAGCAGCTCCTACAACTATATTATTGCTTACAGAACAATAATTGAGGTACCAGATAAAAATTACCTGGTCTAATAGGCAGTGAACAATTTTCACTCAATAAAATGATAAGCCAAATCATTCATTTTATAACACTCTGGCTAATTTATTTGTTGACCTTTTAATATCCATAGCTCTTCAGTGGTATTAACTGCAACTCAGACAAAATCTCTTGTTCATTTCACTTTCATTGATTTTTTTTTCTATTGAGGCCATAACAGCTGCTTGAAAACAACCCTTTTCTTTGCACTGTAAAAGTCGATCATGTAAGTTAGTGTCTTACTTGGATACAGCTGTGTTAGCTTACAGCCTACTTTAATTTCATATGATTCAGAAGTCTCCTACACCATGTTTTCAACAAAGGCAGGGCTTTCTGGTGTACCTCCAGCCATGCTGGATGAGGATACATAATAATATGTTTGGGAAGCTGTCATCTAATCTGAACATAAAATCAACTTTAGAATTAGAGGAGTATCCCAAGGCCCCCCTACAGTTTCTCTAGGCTAGAATGCTTTTGATACCTTAACTTACAGTAATAACAGTAAACACTTTCAAAATATTTAATTCCTTCATTTTTGAATTTGGCTGCATGTTTTGATTGTGCTTTGAATATTTTTGGAAAGACTACGGACAACAAGTGTGTAGAATGTTCTGGAGGGCAGTCAAACTTCAGCTGAATCTTCTATAATAAAATACTCTGAAGTCTTTAGAATGAAGGGTTGTAAAAAATAATTGTCACACATTTGGCATTTTATCCCTCCCTGGAAATAACCATTTGATACCTACACCTCATCTATGCTCCTCCTTTCCATTTCAATTACTCTGAAGTGGTCCTTAGCCATAATGAGAATTCCCCTTTCCACAGAAACATGTTTAATTACATCCATGCTAAGTGTGAGTGACTCTTCTCAGACATAAAGCTTCTGAGTAAAGAGTGTTTAAAGTGTGACACTGAAGTCTTCTAATGATCTGCGGTAAGCTCTATTTCGAGAAGTTCATATTACAAGAAAAATGAAAAATTTGAGGAATGTCTCAGAGGATTGGAAGCTAAACAGTACCCAAGTGTTATTTTGGTTTGTTTTACTTTTTCCCTCACTGCTCTCATTATACTGATTTTTTAGACTGCACTGTGGAATTTTCCATTTGGCTGAATAAACACAAAGGAAGTTGGGATATCAAAGTATCCTCCAAAGGAATATGTCTTGGTACAACTAGTATTTATTGGATTGTACACTGGCTGTGCAGGAAATGGGCCACAAGAAACTTGCAATCAATTTGTCAGCATTTTCCTTCCCAGTCAGTAATACCACCCAGACCTTCAGAAACGAGTGGGAAAAGAGTTGGGTTCAAAGTCCTGGGATCAGGGCGAAACCTGAACTCTGGAGTGAGGAGGGCAGGTGAAATCAGGGCTGATTTCACTGATAGATGCTTATCGTCTCTAAATCAGGAGGAATTTTACCACTCCAGTTCAGTTTCTGTTGCTGATATTCAGCTTGCTGTATTTTGGGTCTTTGGAAACCACAAAGTACATTGTGCTAAGTAGGGGTCAGGAAAATGTGCTGTGACAGAAAAGAAATGCACTTCGTTCTCAGGAATCACCTAACCCAACTTGATTCTGTGAGTTGATGGTTATAGGTGTCTTCTGCTTTCTTCTACATTCCTCAGAATATCATACCCCAGTCGGGCAAGCGTAAGGTCAAGGTCACATCATCTTCTCCAATTGTTGAAGCATCCCTGGGTCTTAATTTTATGAGAGACTTCTCAGTGTCTCAAAATCTAACTGGGATTTGAAAATTAATGTCATGTTGCTAAATGGCTTTATGAGTTGGTCTATAATGTGTGTGAGTAAAAGAAAATTCAGGCCATTTCCCCTGCTCATCTGGGTTTGAGTTTCTCAAAGTATTGAATTTGGTTTATAAATGAGCACAATATCGGTCAATTGGACAACTTCCCCTTCAGTGTGGAAGGCTAGATGTAGCCAGTGACTACGAGCATAAATGCAAAAGAGAAGATCCCAAGGTATAGTAAATAATCTTCAGAACTTATTGCCTTTAAGTAGAAGGAAAAATGAGTCAGCTGTGTCTACCTATTTGACATGATATGCCCAGTTCCCAAGGTGGCTTTCTGTGAATGTGCAAATACCTCAGTGTTTTTAAGGGCCCGAGAATACAGTTAATAAAAGGTTGATGTACATGAAGACCAACCTCATGTTGCTCACAGCCTATAACTTGAGATAATGTCTGTGCTAGACATGATTCATTATGTTAATCACAAAATTAAAGTGTAAGCACAAGCTAGCAAGAGTGAAAGAGCAAATTCATTAAAAAAGTGACATAAAAACTCACAGTGATCAAAACTTGACCTTTGGGAATTTATTATTGGATTTAAAAGTCTGCAGCCAAATGGAACACCAAATTTAAGTCTGCTTTTATAAACTGTACTGAATATATGACTGTCATTTCATCATATAAATTATCCATGCATTTCTTAAAATCAGCTATGTTATCTGAGAATAAACTCTTCAGCAAGAATTTCTCAAGGCCTATATTTTACTGATTGTGCCAGGGGTTTAAAGAAAGAGATTAAGATGTATCCACGGCCTCAAAGAGAGTCTACATTCTAGCTGTGGAGGGTGAAAAATTACATACTTGTATCAGAGCAAAATGGCCTTCATTGCATGTACTTTGTGCCATACTGGGTGGTACGGATGGTCAACACTATCTTTTTGGAAAAATGTGAGAGATTAGGAGCTGGGGTACTGGTGAAGGTAGAATATTCCTGAGAGACTAGCATACTTGTCAAGAGCTCAGGCTCTTACATCTAACATACCTGAGGTTAAATCCCTGCTCAGCCACTGATCATCTGGGTAAACTCGGGGTAAGTTATCTGGCCTTAGGCTCAGTTTCCTCCTTTGCCAAATGGTAACAAGAACAGTACAATAAGAGGCTCTCAGCAAAGACTGAGTTCGTGTTTCATTTTCAGTGAAAGATAGATAGTTCTGTCTTTCATTAACACACCACTACCACTACCTTCAGTAGTACCAGGCATTTGAAGAGCAAGAGGCAGTTCACATGTGTGTTCCAGAGAAGGAACCCAGCAGAAGGAATGGCAAAAGGAATGAGGGTGTAGAGATAGGAAGGAGCCAAACCTTTTGCTTCTAGGCCAGAGAGGAGTAAGTAGACCAGAATAGAGGGCACTTATTCAGATGCAGGGGAGACTAAATAAAGAAACAGAAACAGAGAATGCAGGCAATCTTGTGTAACCCCTACAGAACCTCGTAGCTAAGTGCTACAAAGTTAAGGAGTCTTGAAAGTTGCTGGAGAATCATATCCACACGAGATAACTGGAACAGCAAGGAGCTCAAGAATTATTCACCAACTGATTGGTTTGCAACGTGGAAAGTAAGCTTGAATCTTTTCTTTGTATTTGTAGCCCAGTTAGCATTTTTATTATGAAGGTTCTGAGTCATAAGTAAAACCCACAACAATTGCATTTGAACTGTTTCTTGGAACCCTACTTCTCATTGAGTCTCCCCAGTATTTTTGTCAACTCCAAATAGACTTAGAATAACAAATCCACTTTTTCCTACAACTCCTCACTCACATAATCATCGATGGTCATTGCAAAATAGGTGAAGACAAATTTCGATTATGAGAGGAAATAGGTTGATGGAAAGTTATTTTTAAGGTCTACACATTTTCTGTTTCTTTAAGAGAGAAAATCTAAAGCTATGAGAAGAAAAAATAGTGTGACTCAGGATGTAGATTGGAGAACGAGCATTGCCTTTTTAAGGAGGACTTGGAGCTTTACAATACTAGGATTTGTCCTCATAATCTAATCCCTGAATGAGATTTTTTAAAATCCAAGGGTAGGATTATTTTAGAAGAGTCTAATCTCTACACTTGTGTTTGAAACTGCAAGCAGGGAGACATTTTAAATATTATGAAAAGAAGATAAAATCCCTCCTGACAAATCAATGCCTTGAAAAATTAACTATTAGTTCTACCAAGTGTTTTTTCTTTTCAGAATTATTAAAATTGAATATTAGAATCAAGGGATCCTTATCCTATGTTCCCTCCTAATGTCACAAAAAAATAGGACTTTAAGGAACAATTTCATGGACACAAAGCTATGTGAAATATCCAGCTCTTCTTATGGGAAATTTCTTTTTTTTCTTAACATCCCAGGTTCAATCATTTTCTAATGTGAAATTACAGATTTTTCAAATTACCATATAAAACTGCAAAAAAATTACACTTGTGACCACAGAAGAGATAGCATACACTATCAATTTGATTTTAAAAGGCATATATCTTTTATACTACCTGTCATTTTTATAATGCCTTTTACAAATTTAATCAATACATTTTAACATTCTATATACTTTAAGTGCAATATACAATAAATATTCAAGTTTCATCTTAAACACGCTTTAGCCTTTAAATTGTTAAAACTGCAGTGCCCTTTCAATCTACTTACATAATGTCATAAAATATACATTTCAAGGTAAATGAAGTCAGCTACTTCAATTTAGTCCCTCAAACTGGTAGTAAATGAGAGGTTAACACTATGGTGCCAAACCCATTATTGAGTAAATTTAGCACCTTGGACAGCTCTGTAAAATCTTTATTGCTTTCCTGACCTGCTCGTCATGTTCTGTCTGTGTGTTCAGTGGCTCTCAGCTCTGATTGAAAGGCAATATATTAGATCCCCAACACAAACACGCTTAGGGGCTAGTTCACTGGGAACGTAATGACACGGAGGTGAGAGCAATTTTCCGGTCACCGAAATCCAGGCATCTTCCAGGTTGTTGCACGAACTCATGGAGGACCTAGAAATATCCTCTCTCCCCATTTGCAGAAATAATAGAAGCTGAATCACACTGTCAGTGCTGTGCCAAATGTGGATCTCCCTTAAACCCCGAAGTTGGCATTGTAGTTAAGGGCGCTTTAAAATGGGAGCAATATCGTTTAAGGACGTAGCTTCCAGGACAAGAAGCCCAAGTTCAGTCTCATCAGTTTTTAAGTCCACTGGCCTGAAGGAAGTCTGTGTTGATGACACTGTGTTGAAGCACTATGCCGAGTGGAAACAGGCCTCACTGTCACGGATCAAGAAAGGCAACGTGGTCGGGGATCAAAGAAGGCTTCAACTTGAGGAGACAAGATCCATGTGCTTCACCCTAAAGGATTAAATGGTGACCAGCCCTGGTACCAAAATACCTGGTGAACTATATCATCAGAACTTTACTACCAATGACATGTAAGACAAAAGTACATCATATACACGAAAGGATGGAACTTTCCAGGGTTATAAAACCTTCAAAGACCTTTGAGTTAATTTTGAACTTTTCTCTTTCCTGGTTCTGTGAAATTTATTAAGATAAGGAAGGGTGTGTTGAAAGTCCCCAATTATAGTGCCGCAGGAGTGAACTTCACAAGCATAGTGTCTTTCTGCACCTTACTGTGTTTTGACAAATGGAAGACTTGTTTTGGGGTTTTTTTTCCTACATTGGAAAAAAACATACTCTCTACCAAGCCAAAACATTGGCATAGACATTTATTTGAGGAAATAACTGAACATAGACTCAGAGAAGTCAAATCTTAGCAAATAAACTAACTTGATCTGTTTCGTTTTAATCTTTCTTAGGAGCCAGGTAAAGCCTCGAGGTTTTAGTGAAAGAGGCACAAGCTGAATTTGATCTGAGGATAGGGTTTATCACACACACACACACATCATAGTAAATTATTAGCTGCTTGGTCAGACGATACTGCAAACAAAAAGTAGTAAATTATCTTGTAGGTTGCATTAAGAAGTAAAGAAATGATTTCAGATATATTGGTCCAAACCCAATTGATTATATAATTCCTTTCACTCCCTACATGAAAAATCACTGAATTGTTTTATAAGGGGGTCAGGCAGCATAAGGGAGGCATAAATGTTTATTGAGAACTGAAAACCCCTCTATCTCATTTTTGAATTTAGGACATTATGTATGTCATAAGTACTTACTACGGTATGACAACTGTTTCATCTTATATTATAGAGAATTTAAAATTGAAAAATGCTAATATGTATCTAAAAGCTTGTCATTTCAAGAGTTGTTCAAGGATTTTTGAAGAGGCTATGGTGACAGCAAAATGAATGCAATTATATCCCTATTTTCTGATCAGTGTCTGCAGTATATGAAAATTGAACAGAACTGCTTCTCCATGCAGAACTCTATTGTGTAAAATATTTAAAGTTAAACTTTTGTTTGAAACTTTCCCAACAGCAAGAAATAGTAAACAAATCTTCTTGCAAATCACCTCTGATAATCATACCCACTCTTGGGTTTGATTCTCTGCTAAACTTTCATTTGTGCATGCATGCAGCTTAGCTTTGCCTCCCTTTGCACATACCAGTATAAACAACTTTTCAGATAATTAGGGCAAAAAAGAAGGAAGAATGATTTCTTTTTGTCAGAATGAAAAAATTACCAGCCCATGCATTTTTTAGCATATCTCATGTTATTAGAACTGTGCCAGTTAAATGTGGAAGCCCAGCTAAATTAATAGAGGGAGGCAGTTCTTCTTCAACCAGAATAAGCACCAAAGTGTTTATCTAGGATGAGAAGGAGGGCACAAAAGGGAAAATGACAAATAATACTGACACTGCAAAGAATTTCCGTAAAAGAAACATACTGTCAGTCATGAAAACTGGTACAGAGGGGCTTCTGAGGAGAGGAGAATTTTTAGGCAAGAGGCTTAGATAAACAGCGTATTGCCTCAGTACATGAGTTCACCCCCTTCTGTCATGCCTCTGCCACACCAGAGAGATAAACAAAAGAAGTTTAATGCTACATGCTTCTAGTAGCTCAAGATTGATTGGAAATTCCTCGAAAATGACCTGTCTGATAAGGTCATGGTTCTTGGAATAAGCAATTAAGTGCAAAATAAACACATCTTACAGATTCATAACATGCACTGAATGACATCGATTGTAAGTAATCTAGTAAATGATCCCGGAATTGTATTCAGCAATAAACATATGAGTGCTTTATCGTGCCTATAGCAGACTATTGAGTAATGTATTTTATCTTGCAGTACCGATGATGCTCACCTTTTGACTTGATTAAGTGTGTATGTGAACATGGATAAATTGGTGATTTAGCAGCATTCTGGGGATCCCCAAGGTGCTACTTTTATAGCTGTACCTTAGCAAAGTACGGCCAGAAAGACTGGAATGTAATAATATGAAGAGATAATGACAACCTGTCTTCACTCAGAGGAATGTATCTACTTTCTCTTGACAGGAAGTGATACTCAAAAGGGCTGCAGACCTGGTGGAAGCCCTGTATGGGATGCCCCACAACAACCAGGTGAGCATTCTGGGTCTCATAGCTTTGTGCACTTCCTCATTTAATGCAAGATCTCAGGTTCCTTCTTGTATGAAAAAGCATAGAAAACATAAAAGCCATGTTCATGAGTTAAGAGCATAAGTAATTCAGATATGGTATGTTGCAGGGCTATTCAACCCTTCTCTCTTTTGTAATCTTTTATTGCCTTTTCTATTGAATCATTTTTCTTTACCAGAAAAAGTACTCCACTTAAAACTAATCTCTACTGGGAATGTACTTCATAATTGAAGAAGAGAGTTACTGGTGCTTTATTTTATGTCTCTTAGGTTTTCAAGCAAATTTAGGAGGAGAAAGGGGTTTGATTTCTTCTCCCAAAAAAGTACAATGAGGCCTGAATAGTGCTGTCTGGTTCTGTCTCATAGAGCAACTCTACATATAAAACTCAAATTGCTCAGGAAACTATAAGTACGACAAATCCTTCACTCTTTTTTGTCTCCTGAGTTCAGGATCCTAGGTCAAGGGAACATGAGTCACAGTCTCTCTTTCTCCTTCTCACTACCCCTTCCCTCTCTCCCCCTCTCCCCCTCTCCCCCTCTCCTTTTCCTTCTCTTCCTCTCATTCAATAGCCTCAGGGTCCCATGTATTATACAGAGAAGGAAAAGCCGGGGTGCTGCATGTACTAACTATAATGGGCTTTCAAAGTCAGACAGTGTTGGAACCCCAGCTCTGTCCTTAAACAAGGAGTGTTCTTAAGTGATTTCTTTACCTTTCCAAGCCTCAGTTTTCCCATTTGTGATGTGGCACAATGATGAGACTAACTTCACAGGTTTGTCTGCAGAGGCAGAGATGTAGGCATGGACAGAGTGAGCCACTGACAGCCTGAGCACAGTAGCTGGTGGGCAGTAAGCACCTGGAAAACGGCATGATTGGGAGTAATCATCCGACTGGGACAGCTGAAGGGGATGTTCCTTTGACTTTTCAGGAAATTATCCTGAAGAGAGCGGCCGACATCGCAGAGGCCCTCTACAGTGTCCCTCGCAACCACAACCAGCTTCCGGCCCTCGCCAACACCTCGGTCCATGCAGGGATGATGGGTGTGAACTCGTTCAGTGGACAACTGGCTGTGAATGTCTCGGAGGCGTCGCAAGCCACCAACCAGGGTCAGAAGACTGCTCTTTTCTTCCTTCCCATTTTTTCCTGACCCATCCCAACCTCATGCTCCACCTTGACATAAAACAAGTTTTTATTTAAAGAAGATTTTCTTCCCAATAAGATTTCTAGTTCTCATATATCAAATGTTATTGTAGGATTATGTTTCTAGTTTCCATGTCTGGAAATCTGGTATGGGGGCTAGAAAGGATGCATGCATTTAGCCTTCTCTACCTTTGACTTTCACCATAAACCATGCATGACAGACCCCAAAGAGGGTTGGAATTAAAGTTCTGAGGGGCCAGAGCACATCATTCCTGCCCAAGGAATAGGAACCTGCTAACTCCAGGGTACATCTCTTAGATTGGGATTTATTTCTGCTCCAAAATGATAATTTATAGGCCCTGCATTGCCACTTCTTATGGCCCTGCTAAGTATTTATGATCTGTTAAGAAATGTGTCTTTTGCTCGCTTGCTTCCCATTTTAATCACAGAGCTAGCACCACCAACCGGCGCACATGAATCACCCGCTCCCTTCCCTCAGGGTTTGTGGTAAGGGGCAAGAAGCAGTCCTGCTTTGCCCCCGAGTCTTCCGGGATTGCTGCCGTCTGAATGCTACCCTCACCCTTGGTTCTGTCCCCCACTTCAGGCTTCACCCGCAACTCAAGCAGTGTGTCACCGCATGGATACGTGCCGAGCACCACCCCCCAGCAGACCAACTATAACTCTGTCACCACAAGCATGAACGGATACGGCTCTGCTGCCATGTCCAATTTGGGTGGTTCCCCAACTTTCCTCAACGGCTCAGCTGCCAACTCGCCCTATGCCAGTAAGTAGATGCGGGTCCTTGTCCTTCCATCTTTCCTCCCTAGGAGAGCACATCACAGAAGGGCTCCTCTGTCTGAGGGCCCTCTGCAGGGCACTGCCCTTGTCATGCTGCCAATGCAGCAGACTTCTGAGCTCCCAGCTTGCCCACACCCAGTGTCGTCCCAGCAGTCAGAACTTTGTTGGAACCAGAAGCAGGCCCAGAATGTCATGCCAAGAACCATGCTTAAAGTCAAATGGCGATAGGGTCGATGCTTGCTACTACTGATTACTAACTGGAAGCCTAAGCAAACTTGTCTCCTCCCCAAGCCTCTATTTTCTCACCTGTATGATAGGGAAGGAATTAGCACCCCCCATCCACTGTTGTGAGACGTGGGCATGATAGTGCTCACTCTGGCTTTGTTCTGAGGCCTGGCACATAAGAAACAAGTTCAGAAAACTAAGCCATAATGACAGTGATAGAAAGAGAATAAGTTGTGGTGCTATAGTGTAGTAACAGCAGTCTAAAACTTACAAGCTCCCCTCAAGGAAAATGATTTCTTTATTTTTTAATGCTTGGATTTTTCCTCATTGTGTTTAGTGTGTTCTTTAAAAAAATTTTTTAATTCTATTTTTTTCTGAAACTTTGGCAAGATAAAACACATAACAAATATTCTTTGGTGCCTTGTCCCTTGTTTTAAAGAAGTTTAGCTAAAGGGATATATTCAGGTACATTTAGATCGTATCTAAGGTAGTTCAGCAAATTGGCATCTTTATATATAAAATACATCTAAAGAACCTCGCCAGACTAGCATCTCTCTATAAAATGTTGTGAGTTGTCTTCACAATCTCTCAATTTCCCTCTGAGAATTTTTACATATGCAACCAAGTACATCTTGAATATAGTGAGGGACTTTGTTGATAAGTAAGATGTGGTCAAACTCATAGACATTTGTAGAAAATCAGAAGATGCGTTGTTTGGTGAAAGAATAGTCATGATTTTAAAAAACTAGCCTTAGCTAAAAATATTAAAAAACAATATTGTCATCCATAGTGCAAAGGGATGCACTAATCTTTTCAAAGAGGAAATGTCATCTTTGACCTTTACGGGTTACTTCTGAAAGTATACATAGTTTGTAGGTTCCTTTTTTTGCTCAAGGTATAACTAAATTTTATTTTTCTACTATACTTTGTTTGGAGCCAGCAGTTTGTTGAACACTTGAAATTCCCCAAATACTCTGCATATATCACGGCTGTCTGACAGAGAGGCAGAGTTAATGTTTAGGGTCAGTTTCACATTAGATCCTGAGGTATTGAAAGATTGTTCCTCATACATCTATCATTTCAGTGTTCTCCCATCTAGTCAGTCAGAAAATGTTTCAGTCATGACCTGAAAATTAAAAGGTGGCATTCTTAATTAAATCAATAAACTAATTGCTATATGGTAGCAATTCAATTTAGGGGCTTGGATTGGTTCCCTTTTCAAGCCTGTACAGGCACCCAGTGACTTCAGCCTGAGATTGCATCTGTCAGACTGTGAAACTTAGAACATTTAATTTCCATTAATTGATTTCCTCAGTGCTCACAAATATAGTATTAAATTCTCAAATAAGCCCTCAGATGGGACGGTTTTATTTGCATGAATGCAAATAAAACAATAAACACAAAGCCCAGCTGATTTGAATTTTTGCCTCTGTAATGTTTAATTATTCATAAACCATTCATGTTGAAAAATTCCAACAGAATAAAAAATAAAATAAGACATTCCACTGGTGAACACACTTTCTAGTATAGTGGCTGATAACTAATAATGATGTAACAAATGGAGCTGCTTGACTATATTTCACCCCTTTCTCTGTTAACCAGCCCCCCAAGCTCCCCACCTCTAAATACACATAATGATCACATTTGCCAAGGAGATTAATTGCCTTCCTCAGTGAACCAGCAGGATTTCAAGTCTACGAATATTTAAAAATCAAACCTCCAGTGCAGTAGTTTTGCAATTTAAATGGGTGTTATTATTGAACGTATTTTCACATTTACAAATCCTAAGAGATGTATAAAAATGCTGGCCTCATTAAAAGAAAAGTACAGTTTAGAAAATGTTTGTGAAAACTCCAAGGATGTCAGTTCTGTGTTCTGCTCCATAAAGCACTTAGTGTATTTCGATTGGGTAGTGCCTCGGTCTGAGGACAAGGGGTTATTTCCCCCGTGGCAGCTGCTGCCTATGACCGATTTGAGTCCCACTTCTCTAAATTTCCAAAGCCAGTAGGCTAAGGATTAGATGACCCACATAGTTTGATGGACCCTGGTGGGCTTCAGGGAAGAGGACTTTTTCCTTTGGAGATCTGTTTCCTTTCCAGGGTGAGCTAGTGGAATGAGCACTGAGTTTGGGTTTGATTCTTTCCTTTACCACACTCTAGCTATGTCTCTTGGCGTTTTGAGTTTCAGTTTGCTCAGATGTAAAAAAATATGCTATAGACTTCTCACTTAATGTTGCTTTGTCAATGACAACATGAAAAAGAATGTGAAGATTCTTGTGCATGACGAAGAAATATTGATATTTATTGAATAATATGAAACATAAAACAGGAGGAAGTGCCTAGGATTCGGATTAAGTGCCTGGAAATCACTGGACAAGATTCATAATTTTCTACAGGAAATGGACATTAGCCTTGGTATAGTGTGTGCAAAATCTCTGTCTCCTGAAGTGACCAAGAGATTAATAACCCTAAGCAAACGATGAAATGCCAGGCAGAGGACTATGATTAGTACAGAACGTACATTCACCAGACTCTTTCATGCCCCAAGCAGCTGGGTTTTCTCTTTCTGAATTGCCAAAGTTCTGTCATTGTTGATTATCTACATCCCCACTACTACCAGCCCATGAGTATTTACATAAAGCTGCTAGCCCTCTGCTTAATTCACAAACATTTATGTAGAGCTCCATAGGAGGTGAGTCTGAAGACTTTAGAACTTGGACTTCTGCATCTTCCACAAATATTGCACTTGGCAGTCTGTTTACCCACCCGCCATCCTGCCTACCCATTTCTGTATTGTGGAGCATCAAGGTACTGTCACATCCTTAAGAGACCTACAACTTCCCGGAGAGAATAAGCCACACCCACACCACCATCTGCCAGTGCCTTAAATTGGAACCCTGGCCTTGACTTCCACCTACCTTCTTCCTCATTCTGTTATCGGTGACTACGTCCTCTCAGGCTGGCCTCCTTTTATCCCCATCTGCCGTGCTCCTGACACCTCTTCTGTGCAGCCCTCTTTGGTTTTCTCCACAGACTTGGCCATGCCCACTTCTGTTGCTGTTTTTTGCTGCCCTATCCATTATAAGAAGGCATCGTACTTTTGCTTCCTGACCTAAAAAAATGCAAAGGAAGACGCATCTGTGTTCTGCTCCATAGTGTGCTCAGTGAGCATGTTTATTTGGGTACTGCCTGGGGTTGATTAGAAGGGGTCATTTCCCCTGATGGAAAGTGCTCTGTCCAATGCCTAGTATACTACTACCCTAGACACTCAGCAAGCCCACAGTAAACCACAGAAGATCACCAACTGTGAAAGGGAACACAAACATGTTAAGTACCAAATGCTGAACATGGACAGGACCTAAGAGTTTAGGGAAGGTTCATGCCCATCAAGCCCCTGCAGGATGGCCAGGAAAGGGTGGGATCTGAGCTTCCTAGTCTCCAGATGCCACAGGGGCCCTGATTTTCCTTGCTTTTGTCTCTCTCAGTTGTGCCATCCAGCCCCACCATGGCCTCCTCTACAAGCCTCCCCTCCAACTGCAGCAGCTCCTCTGGCATCTTTTCCTTCTCACCAGCCAACATGGTCTCGGCCGTGAAACAGAAGAGTGCATTCGCACCTGTTGTCAGACCCCAGACCTCCCCACCTCCAACCTGCACCAGCACCAATGGGAACAGCCTGCAAGGTAAGCCCCAGGCCAACCAGCCTATCCGGATCCTGGGGACTTCACCTCCCAGGGCCCAAAGCAGGTGCACCCTATTGCTAAAGGGATCAGCCCTGGCCCTGCCCGCTGCTCCCTGTTCCCTCTCCTTGGTCCTGGCCACTGGTCCTACTCATCCCTGCTCGGCTGAAGCTGCCTGAGGAATTCTCTTTCCAAATCCAGCAATTCTGCTCAGGCCCAAGATTTGCTTTGGCATCCTGATTTACTTGCCTTTGTTTCTCTTTAGTCCTCTTTCATTTCCTACTGTCGCCATTATCAGACTGGCCTTCTGTGAACTCTAGCAAGTTCTCCAGTGCAGGTTCTCGTCTCCGGAAGCAGGTCACTCCACCTTTCTTCCTGTCCCTGTATCAGAGCAAACCTATGCAGGGCTGATAACTGTGAGGGGCTGGACTGTAGCCCAGTCAGAGCCTCAAGGTTAAGACATTGTACACCAAAGGCCAAAGATCTACTACTCAGGACCAGAAGCCCTAAAAATAGCACCAGAGTATTCTGATTAAAATTAAAATTGTTCAAGCATGCGCCTAACCGCAGAATATGGAAAGTAACAAAGTCATCAAGCCTTCAGGTGATCTTTCACTCACTGAGAAAAAGAAATCCACCCTTTAAAAATGGTTCCACTGTTTCTCCCATTTTTCTCATATACTTGGCATGGCACACAGTGTTGGCCTGCACAACCTTATCCATTCCCCTACAGCAGGACTGTGTGGGAGGCACTCATAGCCCCTACCTTAGAGATGAGAAAACTAAAGGTTGGAGGGGGTGCCTGACTCCTAATAGTTGGTGTGTGGCAGAACACAGCTTCAAAGTCAGGCTCAAAAATTCATCTCTTCTTTCCATCTCCCAAGTATGTTATTACTCACTGAGGGTAAAGAGGACACATCCCAGATGCCCAAAGCAGCCAGCAGGGAAATAAGATCAATAAAATAATCAGCCACTGAACAGTGTCAGGTTCTGTGTTAAGCATGGAGCTAGCTTTATCTGATTTAATCCTCACAACTTCCTGATGAAGTACGAAGGCTTTCAGGATCACCATCCTACAAATGATGAAAGGAAGCTTTGGGCAAGTACCTGCCACAGACAGAGCCAGCCAACAGTGGAGAGGAATGTGAACCCCAGTGGGGTCTATGTCCTCATCCCCTTCTCTACACAGCTTCCAGTGGTGCCTCCCTCCCATGTGGCTGGCATGTCACTCAGTGGTTAGCCATGGGGGCCAAAGAGGGGTCAAGAGGGCAGTGACCCCTCTAGGGCTTTGCAGTCTATTTCTTCTAAGCGCATGCATGTTTCCACTCACATGCACAGATTCTGCTGGATGCTTTACTCTGATGCAGGCATGAACTGTTTCTCCTCAGGACTGTACAAAGCCAACACTCTTTCCATTGTATAGAAGGAAAACTTGAAGCTTGGTTTGTTCAAGGTCACCCTGTTAATGATGGGGCCAAAATTGAACCTAAACCTTATGACTCCAGAGCCTGAGGACTTTATCACTCTGCCTCCTCCAGGGCTTTTCAAACCTTTTCAGAAACCTGCTGGCAAATCTGCCCAGTGCAGCTAAGTCAGTGCCCAGCATAGCACACTGATGCCCTCATTGTAACATCTATTGGCCAATCCATCTTCTTTGAGAAAAGAAGGAAATGATCACTGTGGAACTAGAGCCCAGGCAATGTTATTTGTGATGGGAAATGCTCGCCCCCACAAAAGGGAGCCAACCATTCATGCCAGAATGACTCTTTTCATCTAAAAATAATGCTTTGTCACCCCCACTCTACTCCAGCTGGTACACTAGGGATAGAATGCTTAAGCACCCATGACTTGTAACTGTACCATCCAACAGTAATACGAACTGGAAGCAGAAATTTACCATTCTTGAGCTGTGAGTCTCAATCCTGGCTAAGCATCAGAAACAAGATATAACAGGGTTTGCATTTAATAGGTGAAGGGTTGTCCCTGCTGTTGGAAGGTCCGCAGTTGTATCACCAGCCCAAGGTGAGGCCGAATGTCATCCTGCCATGTGGACCTAACAGGGAGAAAGAGGGGCAGAAAATAGGGGCTGAGTCCAGACTGTAAACCTCCTGGATTTTAGCAGATCTAGTATTGGAAGGGTATGTGTATTGAAGTGGCGATAAAAAGGCTTCAGTCACATACAAGATTTGTGCTTTTGTCCTCCAGGGCTTATCCAACCCAATTCCAACTCAATTACAGATTCAGAAAGTACAGAGTCTGTTCCCTACCTCACAGCAGCTGAGTCTCTGCTCTCATGTTGTTCTCTCTAACATGAGGTATGGGGCCTGGATGGTTTGGAGTCTGACCCAGGGACACACTTAGTGCTAGATTTGCCATTGTGGTTGACACTGCCCTCCTCTAGTCCGACATGTGTTGAGGAGATACTTTGACTATTGAGCATGATGAAAAGAAAGGAAAAAAGGCACCTATTATGTTTGTAGTCCTGTCATGTATAAACATCCCTGCATTTGAGGAGAGGCAGTAGTGGGACAATGGCTAAGAAGTTCAGGGCAAATTAATGGAGACCATCTTACTTTAAAGTGTACTTCTTGCCTATCTGCCCCAGCCTCTGCACTCACCAGGTGGAACCCCCACTGGGAATTGCACACACCCCCCCCCCGCCATGCCATCGCAGGCAGAACCAGGAGGATGGAACCAGTCTTAGAGGAGGCAACACCTTTTTTCGTGACGCTGTTGCTTGAGTCTTAGGGAAAAGTGACATTGTGACAGTGGGTTCCAGCATTACTTCATCTTTAACTTTCTAAACTCCACTTCTATCCTTCAAAGGGGACTGAGGTGGGTAAGGCTCACTGAAGTGTTGTATTCCTCCTCCTCCTTTTCAGTGGTACAGTGACACCTACTTCATTGGGACCCATCTAGTTCAGAACTGTGATCATTAAGACAGGGCAAGTGATGAAGGAAGAGTTGGTTAAGCAAATTGACCATGTAAACAGGATTAGAGGTGACACACTTAGACAGTTTAAGTATTTTAAAGGCCTATTTACCTTCAACTACCACTCTGTTAATTATACATCATCCTTTTTTTTAAGCCTACTCCTTAAAGACCTCTTCTCCAGCAGCCTTTTACCTAGCCTCCTTCCATCATAGCACTGCAGTTAAGCGTGGCAGCAATGAGGATGGTGTCCACCCAGACCCGGGAGGCGACCGGGCTCCTGGAGATCACTTGGGTCCCTCCCAACCACCCTTTGATGTGGGCTGCTTATTATCCCCGCTTTCTGGATGTGGAAACTGAGACAGAGATGGCTTGTCCAGAGTTGCTCAGTTAGGGAGAGGGAAGTCTGGCACACAAACTCTATTTTCCTCTGTCTCGCCTCCATGACGTGCACTGTACTGTGTTCAGGCCCACCAGGACCACACTATCCCAACTTTGAAATCTTTCCCCTCATGACGGAAGACAAGACACCAAAGTCAACAGGGCAGAGGCATCAGAACGCTGAGCACCCAGCTGTGCTACCGAGGAGGGAAAACTTCTTGGCAGAAGCTGCCTTGAAACTGTATCTCAGATGAATGACAAGCAGCATTCCAGCATGAGAGAGAGGGTCATTTTAAGCAGAAGGGCTTACGGCAAGCCGAGACAAGAAGCAGAGCCAGGCACATCCCAGATAATGTGCAGTAACCAGTATGTGGCTTAGCAACCCATAGTGGAGGGGCCAGGAAGCAAGGATAAGGCTGGAAAATGAAGTCCTTGCCGAGAGGTCATAAGTTCTGTTCCTCCTTGTGTATTTAGTAACTTACAGGTTCTATTGTGATTCCAACTGGGTCTGTCTCCCAGGTAGATAAAACCTTTGAAATTTTACCCTATGTCCAAGACATTATTTTAGGGCAAAGTAACTCTTGGCTCAGTACATCCAGAGCCTCACAGGATGTTCTGTTAAAAAAGTAAAACTGTTGTGTTCAGCAAATTTAGAAGATAGTGCTTTCTGAACCACTGTCTTGAAGAGACACCATGTACATAAGCCTATGTACATAGTGCTGAGAAATCTTGCAGTTAAATAAAAATGACTAAAGTCATTGCTCAGAATCACAGAGAATTAGTTCAAGGACTCTCATGGATACCAAAATCCATTGATGTTCAAGTCCCTTATATAAATGGTGTAGGATTTTCTGTATCTTCCTGTATACTTTGAATCGTCTCTAGAGTACCTACAGTACCAAAAATGGTGATGCAATGTAAATGTTAAATGGTTGTTATACTGTATTGCTTAGGAGATGGTGACAAGAAAAATCTTTACATGTTCAGTACAGATCCAGTTTGCCTTGAATTTTAGAAATTTTTAAAGATTTTAAAAATTTTAATCATTTATCTTATTAATAGCAATTGCATATGTTATAATATGACATCTTAATATATACATATATACTGTTTAATGATCTGATCAGAGTAACTGGCATATCTTTTACCCCTGATATTTATCATTTCTTTGTTAGGAATACTTACAGTCTTTTCTATTTCTATTTACAATCCCCAGCTTGCAACTATACTACAAAGCTACTGTGATAAAAACAGTATGGTACTGGCAAAGAAACAGACCCGAAGATCAGTGGAATAGATTAGAAGATGCAGAAACAAGTTCTATTTACTTTGACTTATTCAATTAATTATTTTTTGTTTTTGTTTTTTTGGTACCGGGGATCGAACTCGGGACTTTGTGCTTGTGAGACAGGTGGCGGAACCACTGAGCTAAATCCCTGACCCTTTCAATTGTTGTCAGCCACAGTTACCCTGCTTGTTACTATACAGCATTAGAAGTTCTTTTTTTCTCTCTACTACATCTTCTCTCTATCTTCCCTCCCCGACCCGTACCCTTCCTAGGCTCTGGTAACCACGGTTTTATTCTCTACTTCTATGAAATCAACTTTTAGCTTCATTTTACAAAGCTGTTCATTTGATGTTAATTGGTCTTAATATGTGAAAAAGTACTACATAGGCAAATAAATTTAGCAAACTAAATAGAATACAATTGGCCCTCCACATCCATGAGTTCAGTACCTGCAGATTTAACCAACCACAGATATAAAATATCTGGAAGATATTATATTAAGCAAAATATTTTACCTTTTTTTTTTTCGGTACCAGGGATTGAACTCAGGACCTTGCACTTACAAGACAGGTGAGGCACCACTGAGCTAAATCCCCAGTCCTTTTTTTTTCTTTTTTTATTCTATTTTTTTTTTTTGGTACAGGGGATTGAACTCAGGACCTTGTGCTTGCAAGGCAGGCAGCAGAACCACTGAGCTAAATCCCCAGCCCCCCCAGTCCTATAGTAAGCAAAATAAACCAGGCACAGAAAGACAAATGCCTACATGATTTGGGAAATGCAGCTGTACTTAGGATTGAAAAGTGAACATGCAGAGAACCCTCCTCCCCTTCTTAAACAGATGAAGTCAATAAATCCTGACCCTAGACCAAGTGTATCCTTTCTCTTCTCCTACAGTGTATGGCTCTCAGAGGATGGTTTCTACACAAGAGGCTTCATTCTGGAGAGAGGCATCCCCAAGAAAGCTGTCACATGCTCTATAACCCCACTAATATAATTCTAAATCCTCACCGTATCCTGGTCAGTGTGTGCAATGGAAATATTAAAAACAAAAGGCCAGGGTACTATGCATGGAAATGCAGTGGTACTCAGTTCAGGAGCTTAATTTGCTCCACAAGTTTGGAAAAGATGGTCACGTTTGTGTTTGTCCAGGAAAGGTGGTGTAGTAGTGTTTGTCACCCGATGTAGAGTTTGCAAACAAAAACAAAATTTTTCCAAACATTTTTGTTTGCAATCAGAAGTGTTTGTGAACTGAGGTACCACTACAGTACCCATAGACTGATTCTCTTTCTCTCCACCTTGTTGAAGCTCAGACTGGCTACCTCTTCTTGTGCCTAGATACCATGCATTCTAGTACCAAATCGTGTGAAATTTTTTCCTCCATGTACATACTCAGTTTGTGTAAGATCTCACTCCTGTTCTTACCCCATACCTGACTAACTCACAATTCTTATCCATGTGGTGGTTTAGGGAAGAGCATGTTTCACCCTCCCATCCCAAATTCTCTCAGCTCTGCAAAACATTCCATTTTTGCCTTTGTTCTTATCACAACGTGGACACTGTATTGAAAATGTGTTTCCTTTCAAACCTATAGCTTTTTGGGTTTCACCAGAGAATGTGGTCACTAAGCTGCTAGGGGAAATGGCAGAGCTACTGTATTCTGTGACGTCTTGGCACACAGTGTGCAGTGTGGTTTCCTCTCGGGAACCTTCTGGGGCTCCACTCGGGCAGCTCAGCATACCAGTGGCATTTCTAGAACATTCCAAGGGTTAGGCACCCATTCTCCTCCGCCCCCACATGATTGATTTTCAGACTGCAGCACACATATGGGAAGAACAGCCTTTAGGCCTGGGAAGGTCGTGAGGGAGGGTTTCCTTATGGAAGGTCTCTTTTGAGGCGCACAGGCAGAGAGACTACCATCAGCAATCTTTTCCTAAACTTTACTTATTTCCTGCCTTCTGAATTGAGGAAGTTATACATGAGATTTGTTGGAATTTCCTGATGCTATATAGGCATCCAGAAAAATCCCTTCTGCAGAGGTGTTCCACAGCTTCCACTAGACCCCCAGAAAACACTGGTGGCCAACAAAGAAGAGGGAAAGCAGGATGGGCCAAATCCACCCCAAGGGTTCCTCAGATATACTGTATTTGATTGCTGTTAATGTCAATTATTTGCTAACATGGATAAACTGGATTATTTCAATCTTTTAAAAAATGCGTATCTTTATTTCTCTTAAAATAATCTAGAAGCTCTGGTGGCTATGAGCAGGCATTCTCGTGCAGCGACATTTTGGGGAAGCTAAGATGCCACCCACTCTGCAGCACTAGGCAGCACCTGTTTCACTCCTGTCCTGGGCTCTTTGCTTGCTTAGGTGCCCAGCTGGGTCTCTTCCGTCGCTGGAGTTTGCAGCCCTGTTTTCCATGTTAAGCAGTGCCATCTGCTACAGACTGCTGTCTGTTTTCTTTGCTTTAGAACTTTTAATGTGACCCTAAGTGAATGCTTAATCGAATCTAACATATTATTCAGGTACCAACACACTGTTAGGACTTTTTTAAAAAATTCTGGCCCTCCAAAGGAAATGCTTTCATGGCCCAAATGATAAATGCTGGCTGGATCTATGTACCAAATTAGCAGGAAGCTTGTCAGCCTTCTGCTTTGCTGTGAATCATATGGGCACTGCCTGAGTTGCCCAACTGTCTGACAGGGGACTGCCCTTTCATGCAGGGCTCACAGAGTAGGTTTTAGAAGATGCAGAAGACTAGCTTCTCTGGCCACAGGTTTCCAACTTCCACAGTGTCTAACAAGGGTGCCTGGGCCCCCCTGGAGCCCGGATAAAAAGATCCTCCTGGAGGCAAAGCCACACTGGGATGTCACCCTGCAGGCACCTGCACCCCTCTTTGCCATTGGAACTACAGTGTCTTGAGTTCTCAAGTTAAGGCAGGGACTGAAATACTGAGCTCCCCATTTCAGGCAAATCTAGGGCTCACTTGGATCTTAGGAGAACTGCATTTTCAACTGATCCCAAATCTTTGGGGGCTTAAATTGGTCAGCATTTGGCCAAAGACAACTTCCTGTTTCTAAGGAAAAAAAGAGCTTATGAAGGCTTATGAAAAGGACTCCAAGAGCTTTTGGACTGCAAAATGGCTCTTACAAAATAGCATTTGGATGATTTACGTGTAAATGAATCAGAAACATGTGGATTGAATTTCCTTGTGAATACAGATGGGTTTAAAAATTAACGGAAAAAGTGTTTAGCAAAATACTTTTTGGTTTTTCTTTTAATTGGATCTAAAATGTCAGGTGGGGGTAGGGAAGCAGGAAGAATGTGGGGCCTCAGGGATTGGATCCCAACCTGGCCTCCCTGAGACCATGGCAGGATTTGTGGTAGTGGGGTTCACTCCCCAAAAGGCACATTCTCCCAGACATAACGGCTGACAAGTGAAGAAGGTCACTTCCTAGACAGTTATCACTGACAAGGTCATTAATTGAAGTTTAGACTTGCCATTTAAAAGAAAGCAATGACCTTTTTTTTCTGTCCGTGCCTGAGAGGACACTAAGCCATCGTTGAGAGCCAAGGATGGCTGCCTCTTGCTTCCCATGTAGGCATCTCTCTTACTCTGATGTATTTCAAGTTGCCACCCTGCTTTAATTCTCTTACAATAGTCCCCTTATCCCTCACATCTGTTAGGTGAGGCATGCATGTGGGATGGTGCCTAGCTGATAAAAGAGGAAACACAGCCCAGAGAAGTTACACAGTGAGCCCAGTCACCCTGCTAGCTGAGCAGCGGAAGGGGAGGGTTAAAAATCCTAGCTGCTAGCCTCTCTGAGGTCCTGTCTAGGAGCTGAACCTAGGCTAAGCATGTGACACCTGTTATTTTATTTAAATCTCCAGTCACCCTGAGTGCTGTGACCAACTGCATGTTCTTGCTGGGAAGGCTGAGGGTCAAGGAACTACCTCAGGGCAATGTACTCAGAAGCAGAGGAGCTGGAGGTGGAGACTGGGCCTGACCCATTCCATGCTGTCTAAGTACTACTAGGAGTGACCTCCTGACTCCAGGCCTTTTGAAAGAATTCTGGTTCCCTCAAACCACCTTTGTTCATCCCAGAATCCCAGCCCAAATATCCTAGGCTACAATTTTCTGGCGAACTTGGTCACATCATTCTCGAAATCTTGAGTGAAGCAGTGATAGGGAAGATACTCTACCATTTCACGCAAATTTGTCTTCTGCTCCCTCTCCAAGCTGTCTCCCAGCTTTATAGTCCGAGGGAACAATGCCTTCGGTCTCTGGCATTTCCTTTTCTAGTTCCGGACTGAAGCAAAGGCACTGGATGGCTCCTTGGTCGCTCACTTTTCCTGCTAAAATAAAGAGCACAGGGAGGGCCATGGTTTTTTTTTTTTTCCAGAAATCACTAGCATTTGTGATAAGCCAGTTCTTTATTTTTTATTTTTTGGTTGTGAAAGGGAGGGAAAGAACAGTGACAAATTGAAAATTCTCACTATTTTGCAAGTTTTGAGGCTGCAACTTTCCTAGCAGCATTGGGAAATTGTGTTTTAAAATTGAAATCAGGTTTGGAGGGATATTTAGGATATTCTGCTCTGTTAAAGTTATATACATGCTGATATAATTTTTAATAAAGTACATATATTCTGTAAAAAATTCATTCCCAAGAAGATGAGAACACATCTGTGGTTAATATTTAATCAACATAGCCATGCATGGGTCTTTTTAATTTTTTTCCTCAGTGAGATATTTCTAGGCAAAAATATTGATTTCTGTCTTCTCTTTCCATAGCGATATCTGGCATGATTGTTCCTCCCATGTGAAAGAATTGCCTTGAAGAATTTTATTAATGAAGAAGTTGGATTCTGCTACAAGAGTAATCTGATACAAGTCCCAGAGTGGAACTTTTAACTCAGGCCTTTTTAAGAGGAATCACAATAACTGCAGATTTTTAAACGAACAAAAATCACCGACTTTACAAACACTGAAATTGGAAGGGATCTGCAAGTGCAGGGTGTTGTTTAAAGTTGTACCTCTCAAGTGTTGGGGGGATATATTTATTCTGTATCGACAAAAGCAAATCCACTTTTTCTTTCTCTTTTTTTTTAAAGCTTAACTCTGCAATCATTTGTCTTTTATAAACCGTAAAGCTCTACCCAAGGGACACTATAAATAAGACTCCATGTTTTAATTTATGATGTTTTTAAAGATGTGTAAAGGGAGAATGAAGTGGTGATATTTACAAAAAAGTTAAAAAAGAATAAAAAAGAAAAAAAAAAAAGCTTGTATGGGACAGAATAGGAATGCCAGTTAGATTTTTTAGAAAACTAAGGGTCGGCTTTTACGCCTTAAAGCATATCAAGTGGTAGTTAGCTCAGACAGTGCATTTTCAATATCTAACTTAACATGCCATCCCTTAGCAGTGCAAGCTTATTTATCTCTTTTGTATTGTTGTCTTAAGTAACTGTGTAAATAAATGCAGCCTGGAACGTTAAAAAGTGATGTAAGTCATTACATTTTTCCCTTCTACTCAAAAAATCCAGTGCCTCTAGACAGATCGTTAAAATTGCATTCTTAAATCTGATGTCATTCTCTCTTTACTTATGTCAACTTCTTCTGAAGCCAATGGCCTCTCAAGAGCTTGGTGGCACACATGCTGAGTGAGAATCTCTTTGAGACTTCATGGAACAGGGTCCAGGCACAGAATTCCATACCGCCCTGCAGTTAGCAAGCCAAAATCTCACTTCTGCTCTGCCATCCACAGGTTTAAAGTTTACTCATCCTGAAATCTGAAATGCTGACTTTATTCCAATACTCCAAAAACCCCACAAAAGCAACCTGGCAAGATAGGGCCTCTATCCATCCACCGACTTTACATTATTTGTAACATAATAGATTAAAACAACAGGTTAAGTGCTTTGGAATGAAGAGTAAAAGGAAACTGGGGGTAAGGAGGAGAAGGCTGAAGCCTCGAGTTTTCTGTTCTATGGGAATTTTTGCTCTCATTAACTGAGAAGTGTTCTTAAAAATAAGAATTAATAGCAAAGATGCAGCAAAGCTCTTAGGATGCATTTGCCTGATTTTTTTCTTTGCTGTTGTGTTTTTGTATGTAGTTATAAATACTGTAGATTTTTTGTGATTTTTTTTTTTTTGCCAAAGTTGTTCTATTTATACATTTATTGTCTTAAGACAGTTTTCCAATCTCACAAAAAGATTTTACTGCATATTTTGCAAAGAAAAAAAAAAAGCTCACTACCTTTAGCTTGCACATATTTGCAACGTTAATTAAAAGGCTTTTTGTTTTAATGGGGATTTTGTAAAATATCCATATAAATAATGTATTTATCTTTGGAATTTGTACATTGCTTTTCCCTCCTTCTTCTTCCCACCCCTAGTTTATTTTATTGTGTATGTTTGCTATGTGAAAAGTGCGTATTTGTTTGGTCACCTACAGTTGTATTAGCTGTTTCAATGTGATTTTTAAACATTTCATTTATAGTTACTGTATTTTTAGTATTGTTTTAAACCATGCTTCAATTTTTTTTATTTCTACCCAAAAGCCATTGTCTATTTTTGTATTATTTGTAAGTTAAGAAGTTTTTCCCAATATATGGCAAAAAATAGTAGCATATTATTCTTGTAGTATTTAGTTCTGTAGATTAAAAAAATGTATCCTTTGCTTTGGAAGCTTACAAAAAACCTAATGCTGTTTTACTCTATTAATATGCATGGGATCTCTCCCTTTGGAGTGACGCATTTTGTGCATTAAATTCGGGGGAGAAACTTCATAGAAATCAATGAACATACTTTCTTTCTTAAGTCTGCTTGTATATTTCCTCTGTCTTTCACATAAATATAAACCAGCAGATTGGATGCCTTAACAATGCAAATCATATTCATTTCACTTGTACATTGTAACTGTGCACCAGAACTGTCAGTCATCACTAACATTGTAAGAAAAAAGAAAAAGAAAAAAGAAAAAAAAAAAGAAATTGAAAAGCACAAAAGAACTGTTTTGTTACCTTAAGACAATGTAACTTTTTCTAGTAGAGCAAGAAATCATTTACAACAATGCTGCAACTGTGCATGCCCCCGTATGGATACTGCAATGGTTTTCACTAGACTGTCAGAGTGCGATTTTTATGGGTTGGGGTGGGTGGGGGAGGGGAGTGGTGGTGGGGGGAGGGAGGGATGAAAGCTGATTTTTCACGGTGAGAAATAATGATAAATAATAACAATAAACTGGAAAATGTAAGCGAGGTTTAGCATTGCTTCTCGGTACTCAGAAAGATTGTCTGAATTCGTGTGGTAAGTGCTGGCCTGAAGATGTATACAATTTAAAGCCATATTTTGTCTGGTGAGCCCCTTAACTGCAAAGGAAAGAATGGTCAAGCCGGTGCGGTGTCCGGTTCAGACCCTGATAAAAGATGCCACCAATCTGTTAGCCATGTGCCATGGTTCGAACTCTTCTTGAAAGTCCAAAGAGCCTTTAAAATGTGTATAATTTGTGTTTTGTTTCTTCTATTTATATTGATTAGATGGAAACATATTCTGGCCCTCTCACCCTCTTTCTTCTACACAATAGTTTCACAAGTTCTTTTAAAATTTGTCCCCCTAAATGCAGAATATGGCTTTAAGAAGGAAGTGAAGTAGAGAATTAAATTGAGATTTCAGTTTTGGGGGAAGAATAGAACTTCTGGATGACTGGATCGTGTAACACGCCCTGGCCTCGCATTGTACTAGGATGCAGCTTAACGAAGTCATCTCTAAATCTACTAACCTTTCACCTTCTTATCAAAAACTTTTTGAATAGACACACACTGTACAGTTCAATTGTTAGAGAACCTAACTACTGTAGAGATTGTTATAATTTTTTTTTTTTTTGCAAAAATTCAAGCTGTAAAAACTTTTCAACTTTCACGATATTTAATTAAAGTTACTTCCTGTCTGTGATGGCAGCTCCTAGTTGTGTATTCATTTCTCTATTTCAGATGAGCCAAAGTCCAATGTACTCAACAGGTCTGTGTTTGCAATTACTCAGACCAGTGTTGAGACCTGGAAGAAAGGATTTAAGATAGTCCTGGGGCACCCACTTTCCTTCTTTGTAGGTCCCTGGGGATTTGCTCATCTGGGATGCAAATTGAACACACGCAGCGCATTGCTGCCCTCTGCTGGCTGTAGCCGAAAGTACAAGTACCTGTGTTGACCCACAGAAGAGCTAGGAGCCCCAATTCCATCAAACAGCGAGACTCCCCACTGCAGTGATTAAATTGTGAACCCAGGTGCTGGTCATTCCAGAAAGCTATCCCCTATGCTACCAGTCTGAACAAAGCTTTTCACACACAGCTGCTAATTAATCCCACGGAGCCTTCTGGTCAATTAATTATGTGCCCTGGCTCATTGATGAAACGTGTGAACTCAGAACCTTCTATGACTTGTATTTTTTAATCTCCTGTGTTAAGATACTTTTCCTATTGGACAAAAACACATTTATCGAGATTCAAACATTCCACAAACTAAGTAGGCAGTCTTGTGACATTTTTTCATTTTCAGTTCCATCATAAAATTGCACATATTATTTTTTTTCTACTTTTGCAATTATTGGACATAATAAGGCTAATGATGCTTGTAAAATGCCTCAAAACCTCAGCAAATAAGCCCTGGACAGACAGACGCTTGATGGCCAGAGGTAATAGATGTCAGAAGGTCACCACCAACACCATCACTTATGATGCGCATTACTGATAAGATATACTTTGGCTGTGGAAAGTGACCCAATTTGAGGTCATGAAAAGGCTTAATGCATAAGCTAATATGTGGAGAAACTGCCATTCTTTTCTTAAAGAGGGAACCCAGGCTGGTCATCAATATGTTTTTGAAATTCTGCATTACACACAGAAAATAAAAATTGAGCTAAGGGCTCCTGTCCTCTGGATGTTCATAGTCTCAGACAAGACAACCTTGTATTCAAATCATGCTAGACTAGAATGGTTAGACAGGATGAGGCAGAATGCTACAATCCTCCACAGAATAAAACTGTCACGCACACTTCTGACATGCTGGCTTCCTCCTTCCTTAAGTCCTGCCTCTTATCAATGTTCTCATTCATTCATGCATTTATTCATGTAGAGCTTGAGTGCTCACTGTCCCTCAGCACCAGATGAGATACAGATGGATCACCCAAGACACTGTCACTGTTCACACTTTTGGTGCTTCTATTTGACTAAAGCAAACAGATATTAAGCCACACATGCAGATTTAACCAACTAATAATGGCAATGAAGAAAAAGTCTGGAATCTTGGCTAGTACACCATAGTGGTATCTGATTTAATGTGAAGGATTGGGAAAA